CTCACGGATTTCCGTCTGCGGCGGTAAGGGTGACCACTAAGGGCCTTTAAGAGCGTAGCTAATACTCAAGAAACCTTTCATAAAAAAGGTCGTGCGTGACCGGCCTCAAGCAGTTGTCCCTTGGACTCTGCAGTCACGCTCCCAGGTCGTTTAGACCAACATTAATTTACTTTCTTTCCCAAGTTCCTCAAGAAACAACCTTCCACGGTGTGGGCAGCCGGAAAGTGACAACCGCCACCATACCCGTAACAATTCGACAAGCCCGTCATCGCACAACAGAAAATCATCCATTCTGTCTAAAAAAAGACAGGTAAGGTTGAGTAAGAGTTCTCATCTCGCTCACCGTTGCTCCCATCTGGATATGGTGGTCGGACTTGCGTATCGTAATGACGCAACCAAGCTATTATATTGGCTAGAACGTATGTTCTTTTAAGTCCTAAGATGCTAGGCAGGTCGTTTAGAGAACGGTTGAATTAAAAGCAGCATAGTGTTTACATTATGTAATCGTTTCTCTCAACAATAAAAGAAAATCTTCTTAACTCAAACAATGTGAAAATGTTAATGACTATTAATTATTCAGAAAACAACCTGTCTGTTTTAATAACTGACCTTTGCGTTAATATAGGATAGGATTGACTTAATCAATACAAATGATGATGTAATCAGTAGTAGTATTACCCTAAACGTATAGTGAGTTATTGATTGAGATCAATAGTAATCATTGACAGGGTATACTCACAAGATAATTGTAGTGTTGTTGTAAATTCGAAATCGGTGAATGGGAACTGTTAGCTCATTGAAATGAGAGTAGTGGATGAATTGATTTGTTAAAGAGAATTACGATTGTTTAGTGTTAACAATCGATAATGATTAACACGACTGTTATTAATTGAAAGTGATGTTCAATATCTTTAGTTCAGTTGGATGTGTTGTCGTTGTGTTGATTGGATTTGGTCGGAAGCAAATGGTTAAGTGGGCTGAGTAGCTGACTGAATAACACAATGATGTTTGAACGAAACTGTACTGGGTTTGAGTCCCGGAGTAATCATCAACTGTGTTATATAAAGGCACATCCAGCTGACGAATCGGATGTAGGACAAAACGCCCTTCTCGTCTATTTATCAAAACTCCCATGATAAAACTCTTCGCAAACATTGTTATTTAAGAGTTTAAATTAAAAATACTTAATGCCAGACAGATATACATATTCTCTGAAATCACTAATCGTACATTTTTAGATCATTATTGGACAACTCGGTGCATTGGAAGACGGCTGTTTCGTCTTAGTATGTTACTCATCAGTAGTACACTTATATTCTCTCATATTAGTTGGATGGTTCAAATAATATCAAAAATTTCTAGTCATTCTTACACGAGTTTAAATTATATTTCAAAGTTTTCCAATATGAAACTAGTAATCTGATGTGTATTACATAATTATATAGACAGTGTGCATTTATGTGGGAAACACATTCACTACTAAAATGAAACTTAATGGAGTTTTCATGTTAACGATTCTGATCTCTAATTACCATCCACTAAAGAACCACTTTTTAATCAGGAATTTTGAATAGAGATATAAGATATTGTGAATGAGAAATTTTAACAATAACTTTTATGGGTGAACTGGAGAACAGTTTGGAGGCCCCTTCGAAACTACGGCGTGCCTGAGAACATAGTCAACATTATACGGAATTCTCATAATTATGGATTAAACTGAAAAATCGTGCACGGAGGGCAGCTGACAGACTCGATCGAGGTGAAGACTGGTGTCAGGCAAGGTTGCTTACTCTCACCCTTTCTCTTTCTCCTGGTCATTAACTGGATTATGAGGACATCAGCATCTGGAGGGAAGCCCGGTATCCTATGGACAGCTAGGATGCAGCTGGACGATCTGGACTTCGCAGATGACCTAGCTCTTCTATCTCACACGCAACAACAAATGCTAGAAAAGACGACCAGTGTAGCAGCAGCCTCAGCAGCAGTAGGTCTCAACATACATAAAGGGAAAAGCTAGATTCTACGATACAACACAACATGCACCAACCAAATCAAGCTTGATGGAGATTCTTTGGAGGACGTTAACACCTTTACATATCTTGGCAGCTTTATCGACCACCAAGGTGGGTCCGATGCAGATGTGAGGGCGCGGATTGGCAAAGCAAGGGCTACATTTCTACAAATGAAGAGTAACTGGAACTCCATTCAAATATCAATCAATACCAAAATCATGATTTTCACTACAAATTTCAACACAGTTCTACTGTATAAAGCGGAAACTTGGAGAACGACCAAAGCTATCATAAAGAAGATAAAGGTATTCCTTAATAATTGTCTACGCAAAATACTTCGGATTCGTTGGCCAGACACCATCAGCAACAACGTACTGTGGGAGAGAACAAACCAGATTGCAGTGGAGGAGGAAATCAGGAAGGAGCGGTGGAAGTGGATAGGACACACACTACGAAAAGCACCGAACTGCGTCGCAAGACAAGCCGTCACATGGAACCCTCAATATCAAAGGAAAAGAGGAAGGTCAAGGAACACATTACGCCGAGAAACGGAGAAAGATATGAGAAAAATAAACAAAAACTGGATAGAACCGGAAAGAGAAGCCAAGGACAGAGTTGGTTGGAGAAAACTGGTGGGCGGCCCATTGTCCACTGGGGGTAACCGGCATCAGTAAGTAAGTAAGTTAGTATGAATGAGAAATTTTAACAAAAACTTTTATGAGTACAGTATTTGTGATTGTCAATATACCGAGAACCTGAGTTGTATTTGACAATTTTATCTTAACTATAGATAGCAATAAGATGAAGGTTGCCAAAGGTTTTCATTTCATGCAAGCAATCTGTAAAACATAAATGTAATTGGATGTAGATACTTGCAGAATACTTTACCCAAATCATGTAGCCTGATATTGCACTTTAATTTAGACTGACTGTTGAATATGTTATGAATAAATAAATCTTTGATCTGATTTCCACAAATCATGTTTAGGCAAATCTCGTTTGTGAGACATCGTTAATAAGCCAGAAATAAAGATTCAGTTGGATAAGTTT